AGCCTACTAGCCGAGACTCTTCTTTATGTGTACTGATGTGACGTAATGACTCAATATAGTCTACTAGCCGAGACTCTTCTTTATGTGTACAGTTGTGACGTAATGACTCAATATAGCCTACTAGCCGAGACTCTTCTTTATGTGTACAGATGTGACGTAATGACTCAATATAGCCTACTAGCCGAGACTCTTCTTTGTGTACAGATGTGACGTAATGACTCAATATAGCCTACTAGCCGAGACTCTTCTTTATGTGTACTGATGTGACGTAATGACTCAATATAGCCTACTAGCCGAGACTCTTCTTTGTGTACAGATGTGACGTAATGACTCAATATAGCCTACTAGCCGAGACTCTTCTTTATGTGTACAGTTGTGACGTAATGACTCAATATAGTCTACTAGCCGAGACTCTTCTTTATGTGCACAGATGTGACGTAATGACTCAATATAGCCTACTAGCCGAGACTCTTCTTTATGTGCACAGATGTGACGTAATGACTCAATATAGCCTACTAGCCAAGACTCTTCTTTATGTGTACTGATGTGACGTAATGACTCAATATAGTCTACTAGCCGAGACTCTTCTTTATGTGCACAGATGTGACGTAATGACTCAATATAGCCTACTAGCCGAGACTCTTCTTTATGTGCACAGATGTGATGTAATGACTCAATATAGCCTACTAGCCGAGACTCTTCTTTATGTGTACTGATGTGACGTAATGACTCAATATAGCCGACTAGCCGAGACTCTTCTTTATGTGCACAGATGTGATGTAATGACTCAATATAGCCTACTAGCCGAGACTCTTCTTTATGTGTACTGATGTGACGTAATGACTCAATATAGCCTACTAGCCGACCGAGACTCTTCTTTATGTGTACTGATGTGACGTAATGACTCAATATAGCCTACTAGCCGACCGAGACTCTTCTTTATGTGTACTGATGTGACGTAATGACTCAATATAGCCCACTAGCCGAGACTCTTCTTTATGTGTACAGATGTGACGTAATGACTCAATATAGGCCACTAGCCGAGACTCTTCTTTTTGTGTACAGATGTGACGTAACGACTCAATATAGTCTACTAGCCGAGACTCTTCTTTATGGGGACAGATGTGACGTAATGACTCAATATAGCCCACTAGCCGAGACTCTTCTTTTTGTGTACAGATGTGACGTAATGACTCAATATAGCCTACTAGCCGAGACTCTTCTTTATGTGCACAGATGTGACGTAATGACTCAATATAGCCTACTAGCCGAGACTCTTCTTTATGTGTACTGATGTGACATAATGACTCAATATAGCCTACTAGCCGAGACTCTTCTTTATGTGCACAGATGTGACGTAATGACTCAATATAGCCTACTAGCCGAGACTCTTCTTTATGTGTACTGATGTGACATAATGACTCAATATAGCCTACTAGCCGACCGAGACTCTTCTTTATGTGTACTGATGTGACGTAATGACTCAATATAGCCCACTAGCCGAGACTCTTCTTTATGTGTACAGATGTGACGTAATGACTCAATATAGGCCACTAGCCGAGACTCTTCTTTTTGTGTACAGATGTGACGTAACGACTCAATATAGCCGACTAGCCGAGACTTTTCTTTATGTGTACAGATGTGACGTAATGACTCAATATAGTCTACTAGCCGAGACTCTTCTTTATGTGTACAGATGTGACGTAATGACTCAATATAGCCTACTAGCCGAGACTCTTCTTTATGTGTACAGATGTGACGTAATGACTCAATATAGCCTACTAGCCGAGACTCTTTAAGGGTACAGATGTGACGTAATGACTCAATATAGCCAACTAGCCGAGACTCCTCTTTATGGGTACAGATGTGACGTAATGACTCAATATAGTCTACTAGCCAAGACTCTTCTTTGTGTACAGATGTGACGTAATGACTCAATATAGTCTACTAGCCGAGACTCTTCTTTGTGTACAGATGTGACGTAATGACTCAATATAGTCTACTAGCCAAGACTCTTCTTTAGGGGTACAGATGTGCCGTAATGACTCAATATAGTCTACTAGCCGAGACTCTTTAAGGGTACAGATGTGATGTAATGACTCAATATAGCCAACTGGCCGAGACTCTTCTTTATGGGGACAGATGTGACGTAATGACTCTATATAGTCTACTAGCCGAGACTCTTCTTTATGTGTACTGATGTGACATAATGACTCAATATAGCCAACTGGCCGAGACTCTTCTTTATGGGGACAGATGTGACGTAATGACTCAATATAGCCAACTGGCCGAGACTCTTCTTTATGGGGACAGATGTGACGTAATGACTCTATATAGTCTACTAGCCGAGACTCTTCTTTATGTGCACAGATGTGACGTAATGACGCAAAGACATGCTCGAATCTCCCATGGAAATCCACCAGTACCACTGGAATTAAAAACATTATTCCAAGCTTACCACTTTGAATCAAGCTAAGTCAAGCTGATAGCATTGAACACTGGCTGGTTATGTATTTTCTCAAATATGTATTTAACCCGAAAAAAGCTACAAACTGCAGCTTTAACTTAATTTATTTGAACATTTCAGTCACTGTGACTCACTAAGAGTATTCTAATAGCAATTATGGAATTTGAGTTTCCGACTCATCAGAAAATTTGACCTTTCATGTGTTTATGAGTAGGCGACTGGGCAGGATAATGGATCTATCATTGCAATGCAATGCATAATCTAACTAGTTCATCAGGTTTTGTTATCAGAATTTATCATGCAGGCTAATAGTAAGCCAGTTTAGTCTATGCCTTCCCAGATGTTTACCGCTGTTATCAAGTTTATAGATCCAGTCCTCTCAGATTAGTGATTAAAATATAGCTTTTTTGAGAAGCCGTGCTTCTCAGCTGTACAAGTGTCAGCCCTTAAATGTAGCATCTTTTTGTTTTTCTTTCCTTAGCTGACTGACTTTAGGTTGGGAAAAGTCAAACTAAGTCCAGCAGTGTGTGTGGCCCTAAAATGGGCCTCCTTTACTGATGTGATTTGAGAGATTGTTTTTCCAGTTTTTCTTACCTAGAAAGACAATCATTGGAAAGGCAAAGGAACATTGTGATATAAGCAAGGGATACAATTCATAACAATCTTTTCACACATTGTGAGTTGTATTGCTAAATTGATTCATTTTAGCTAGATGAAGAAGCTTCCACTGTAAACAACTTGTGTTGATCATAATGGGAGCGATCTGATTTTGTTCTGGCTAAACTGAGTTGTTACTAACCAAAGATAATGAGTGCAAAGGCTTTAGGGGGTGTTGGAGAGCTGCTTTTTCTGGCACCCTGTCTTGTGTGAGCGGTCTCTTGATAAATGTGCAGTGCTCTCTCTGCAGGCTGGAGGCTTTGGTGCAGTGATGCATTAGTGTGATTATGCAGAAGCAAAGTAATTGACCTGTTTAAAACTTCGGGTCCACAGCACTAATTCCTCAATATTACGGCACTAAAGAGTTTTATACAAAACCGTGCATTGCGAGGTGTTTTATAGTTTATTAAATTCAAATACATTTTAAATTTTAATTTTTTCCTTTGATGGCAAAGCTAAATTTTCAGCATCATTACTCCGGTCTTCAGTGTCCCATGATCCTTCAGAAATCATGCTAATATGCTGATTGGCTGGTCAGAGAAACATTATTACATTGCAATGCATAATATAAAAAGGTAATAAATAAAAGGTGAAGAAAAGTTTTTTCTTTATATATATATATATATATATATATATATATATATATATATATAAGAGAACAAATAGAAAGAACTCTATAATAAAAAAGAACATAATTTGTTTAAAATAGAAATCTTTTTGTAATTTTATAATTATGTACTGTTGGGCTGTCAAATCATTAATCGCAATTAATCACATCCAAAATAAAATTTTGTGTTTACATAATATATGTGGGTGCACTGTGTATAGTTATTTTGTGTATATATATATATATATATATATACACACTGTGCACCCACATATATTATGTAAAGACAGACTTTTATTTTGGATGCGATTAATCTTTTGACAGCCCTAAACCGTCTCTTTTTATCAATTTAATGCATCTTTGCTGAATAAATATTAATTCCTTTCAAAAATATGGATGCTGTTTTTGAAATATAGTGTAATTTATAACATGTTAATTGTTCAGAATGAAGAGTTTATTTTCCTTAGTTCCCCAGTTCTATTTCTCTCATTAGAGTTGGTTTGTATTTAGAGAGGAAATGCAACTCGTTCAAGATGTCATGTGTGACCCGTCCTCCCCTCTTCTGGGTCAGATTGCCCTGATGCAGGTACAAGGCCTGTGCTTAAAGAAACTACGTCAAATGTGCTTCATGTGCCTCTTTTACAGATCCTGAGTGTAACGTAATTACCCACCTCATTGGAATGATAATTCTGCTGTTATTTACTCGCTTTCATGTCATTCCAAACCAGTTGGACTGACTTTCATTCTTCCGTGGAAGAAAGTTTGACAGTTTTCCATGCAATCACAGTAAAGGGCTACTGATGATTTCAAGTAGTCGTCCATATGACTCGTTAACTATGTCTTCTGTCTTGTGAGCAAATCATTATTTTTAGTCAGATCTTATCTGATGAGTAAGTCAGTCATTTGGGTTTAGAACAACATGAGTCTTTGTAAATGATGACAGAAGTTTCTTTTTTGGGCAAACAATTCCTTTAATCCGCATTAATGAGAAGTTTGTGTTGCTTTGTTTGAACCATACATTCCTGTGAAAGATGAGTTATGTTGCAAGCTGTGTTACAAAATGAAGACCATTCAGCCACTTATTAAAGAAAGAGTGGGGAAAGAAAGGATTAAAGAGAGGAGAGAACAATGTGATGAAACTGTTCTTTCTGAACTCTTAAGCAATGTGTTTTTCCTCTTGGCATTTAGCAGATTCTGATGGAGCTCAGAATAGAAGATTGTGAGATTAAGGACATTGATATTAATTTCCTTTCTCTTTTTTCCCTCCAGGAGCGACGAAAGAGATTGGATCAGCTTTGACCAGGATGTGTATGAGACACAGAAGCATTGAGAACAAGCTCAAACTGTTCACCACGTATGACTATTTACTTCTTTGTTTTTCATAAGCTGATTAGTTAAATTGGTAATGAAGATTATGTATTATACAATTCATTACCTGTATGGACAACTTTAACTGTGTGTGTGTGTGTGTGTAGAGCTCTCATGGATAACTTGATCACTCCTCTGGAACTGAAAATTGAAGAGTGGAAGAAGGTTGCCAGTCAGCTGGATAAAGACCATGCCAAAGGTATCGGCCTCCTTCCCTGTGTGATATAATCGGTATTCGACAGGTTTAGTATTTAATCTTTGTGTACAAAAAGTTGGCAGGAGGTAAAGTATCGATTTAATCCTATAATGGAAGTGTTTCAAGCTAAGTACAGTTGAATTCAAAGGAAGAGTTTACCTGAAAAACAAAAAGTTGACTCAAGCTGAATAAAAAAAATTAACAAAGAAAAAGTTCACAATGAGGTCTTTAAAGGGATAGTTTACCCAACAAATGTGAATTCTTTCATCTTTTATTCACCACCATATCATTCCAAACCCATAAATCTTTGGTTAACAACTTAGAAGATCAAAAAAGTTCATGTAGGCATTGTAAAATGAATGAAAATGAAATTAACCAGAGATTTTGCGGGTTTGAAGTGGCATGGGTGTGAGAGAATCATGACAGAATTTCCATTTTTTTAGGTGCACTATCCCTTTAAGAGTATAGGAGCAAAGAAGAAAAACCCCTATAAAAACTAAATTATGATTGTTTTGGGACAAAAACTTGAAGTGGACCTCAGGCCAAAAAGTAGGGCTTGGTAAAAACATTTTTTTTTTTATCAATTTCTTGATTTTAATCGATTCTTAATTTTATGAACTGATTTTTTTTTTCTTAAATCCCAAGAATCGATCTTTTAGTCTATGCTGTTCTCAGGTGATGAATGAACAAAAATGCCCATCTAATAAAACACTATAAGCTTTGTGCTTTGTTACTTTTGATTTAAAACAGTCTCAGATTTCAATTCTGTCCATTTAATTACGAAATTCAAAGAATAAATATCGTTTTGCGCTCTAATGTGGCGTGAAAGATCACTGTTGCCGCCTCAGATCAAGTGAAGCATCAGTGAACTAATCATCGCTTCCTCTTTACTATGTAACTGTGTTACAAGCTATGTTAAAAGATACAGTACAATCGCTCAATCAGTGTTTCAACCACGTCAGAGTCAGAGAGTCAGAGTCACGTCCATTTGTAAACAGTGTCACGTAATTTTACATTTACCACAGAAAAGCCATTCAGTGACCATAAACTCGTTAGTCGGGTAAATACATTTTGCTAAATATATGCACCATGTTACATATTCATCTTTTTCTTTTTCTTTTTTTTACTGTTCTTCAGTATTTAATGTGTTTGAAAAAATCTGTAATTTTTTTATGACAGCTACAATTTTAATGTTTTTTTTTTTCAAAAATTAATTGGAGTAGAATTATATAATAGTTAAGTTAGTATTATAACTTTAGTATTATAAAAAAACACTTTTTTTCTTGAGAAAGTTTGCATATTTATATATCCAAATTAATCAATATTTATTCAAATCACAAGCTTGTGAATTGAAATCGAATCAAATCTTAAATTTGTGTCAATTACAAGCCCTAGCAAAAAAATCAAATAATAATGATATCACCATCCCTTTAAGAACACCAGTGTCGGAAAACCTGTCCTATTATCTGCACACTGTTAATTATTAAATGGCTCTTAGCTCTGTGGGAGTCCCTCAGACAGTTATATCACCATCATAATGGATCATTTATTCATAAGAACAATCCATTATGTCATATAAAATAGACGTTCAAACAGTTGCTTTGCAACTCCTCGGTAAATACGCAGCTACACCCACACAATCTCCAGCACGACTGTCTGGGGTTGCTAAAGGGTCGTTTCGTTTGACATCATTGTGAATAATTTATTATCAGTGCTTGCTAAGGAAGGCAAAGTTATTGTTGCTCATATTTAAGATTTGGGATTTGAACAATGTATCTTTTGCCTCCACTGAAGAGGCTAATGTTCTTCTTTTCCTGCTGTGTTTTATTTTTTAGAATATAAGAAGGCACGCGCAGATATCAAGAAGAAATCTTCAGACACCATTAAACTGCAGAAGAAAGTTAAAAAGGGTAAGGAAATCATTAAACGAAAGTCACAGAGGCTGAACACCTTGGGTAAATAATGTCTTAATAATGTTCTGTGAGTTGCAACATATAAAGTCCGGTTGTCTTGTTACACACACACACACACACACACTTTCTCAAATTACTGCCTCAGATCTCTTTGTCTAAACACAATAGGATATGCCCATGACTTCTGTTGGCACGACACCTTGTGTTGTCATAACACCACGCCCTCTGTTGTCATGGCATCAACCTTGGTGATCTTGGCCCTGGTCAAACTGCATTGTGCACCCACATTAAAAAAAATCTAGCCTAGAGGTTAGCAAGTACTGGTTAACAAGTACTGTAATGGAATGATGAGGATATAGTTTTACCAACAAATCCAATACACTTTTTTTTTTTTGGGAGTATGCCTATAAAACATGTCAAGATCATAATTCACCCCAAAATCAAAAGAAAAAATATATAATTTGCATAAGGAAAATAAAGCTTGTTTTCAGAATCGTCACATTCACACCCAGTCGTCCTCAAATTTTCATTACGGTAATCCAGATTCCAGAATAAAAATTGTATTGCAATTATTGAAAAAAAAAAAATCTGTTTATTATTAGCATTCTTAACATTATTTTTTTTTAATGTAATGTATGTGCTTTTTAAATTTTTATTACTAAGAAAAAATATTAATTAAGATTAAAAAAAATAAAAATTAAGATTATTAAGAAAAAGACACATTGCAATGATGGCAATATTTCAGTTTTAAACCTTCACTCTTAGAAAAAAGGGTTCATTGGGGTTCTATATATGAAGCATAGGGTTCTTTACTCAACTCCAAAGGAACTTTTATGCTAAAAAAAGGTTCTATAATGACAAGAAAGAACCCTTTTGGCACAATTATTCATATATTACATTATAATTTCTGCAACATTTTGTAGTTGTAAGTAAGTTATTGTTTATTAAACTGTTGTACTAACTTAATGTCACATTTTAATCATGCTGATTTTTGGAGGATAACTGAAATGGCACTCTTCGTGTGATATTGATTAATTACATTTTTTTAACCCCCATTTCTTGAATTTTGTGATCATTCACATGCATTTTAGGGGTTCCAAATATGTAGCACTTTAGAACCTTTAAGGTCCTATATAGAACCTTTTCTTCTAAGAGCGTTGAAGGCAAGCCATTGGATATCACACAAGCAAAGTGCAAACTTTTCCAAGTGTTATGCGTGTTGAGAAATCTCAAACACCAGTCAATTATTCACTATACAGATTTATTACTTTCTTTTATTGTAGTGTGTGGAACATGATGTGGACATGTTTGTGTGAGATTCAGCTTTGTATATTAAATAGAATTTGAATAAGATTTGAATACTGTTGGCATAATTTTGAGAGTGGTGGAATGTGGCACCGGACGAGTTCATCACATCTAGATGCGTTGAATGCATGGAATAAAGGCGTTGAGAAAGATGGATGTATATACAGATGTGTTCTGTCATTATGGTGGGTGTCGTCGGCTTCAGCTGTGTGTGGGCAGCAGTAAGAGACTGAACAGTCATTCGCTATTCACTTCTGCTTTGAGGGGTCAAAACGCCCGCTGATCTATATTCTGCATCCACCCTCACTCAAACTCTTATTCGACATTTCCAGAGGATGTTATAAAAGTAACTGTTGAAACATCAGTGTTCAGTGTGCTCATACATACAGTATGAATCATAAAATGACGAGTTAGATATGATCAACTAAGATAAAAAGATTTTTTTTTTTTTTTTACTTTTTTTTTGGACGATTTTTTTTTCAAGGATGGATTAAATTGATCAAAAGTGACGGACATGGTCACAAAATTTCAATTTCAACTAAATTCTGTTCTTTTGAACTTTCTATTCATCAAAGAATTCGGAAAAATTTATCATAAATTCCACAAAAATAAATAAGCAACAACTTTTTTTTGTAACGTTAATAATGTTTCTTGAACACTAAACCAGCATATTAGAATTTTAGGGCGGGACAACTTGTCAATCACTTGATTCACCAATAAAAAATTGAGATCTAATTCCATATAAAAGTAGTTTGCTAAAAGGTGCTTTAATGCAAGTTTCTGTAATTTGAGGAAATGAGCCGTTTTTGACAGAACATTGTCACCAGAATAGCTCATAGCTCAAGGCCACACAAACTCTCGGAGAGGAAAGAGATCCCCCATCCTTCCTTCAATTGGCATGCCATCTTTCTCAACATTGGGAAAACACCCTGTGGTCATACACTCCCTTTCATATTGAAGGGTGCTGCGGCTGCACAATCTGTCTTGTCTGGTATTTAGGAGTAATACGACCTTTGATCCAGTGTCTTTTGGTTTCAGTCACTGATTTTGAAAAATGAAAAGCAAGATCTGTATAATTAGGCTGTTCCCTCTCGCAAGATATTTTCTTCAAATTAATTAGTAACTCTTTAGCGGACTGTTTGTATCTCAGTGGTGGTCTCATAATTGCATTATTAAATACATTATTTTGTATTTCCAACTTTACTCCCTAAATGAAAATCATTTCTTTAATTTGTAGTTCCTCCCTCTGAGATATGATTTTTTTTTTCTCTCATTATTTATATGGATTTCTGTATTTTCCAACCAAGTGAATTGGGTAAATCCAAGAAAGATGTCGGGGTGCCAGAGTACTGTATGATTATTAAAATCACATAAACCATAAATACTAAATAAACTGCAAAATATTACGTTGTCTAATATATTTATTTCATGAACATCACTGCACAAACTCGTGGCACCATCTGAGGAACGCTATTAGCATGTTAAACAGGGTTCAAAGCACCAAATGTGTGTTACCTTTTTTTAATGTATTTTCACAATGCATGGTGGCGAGAATGTGATATGGATTTGAGCGACCATCAAATCCTGACTGTTATGATGTTGTTATATAAATATATACAGTCTGACACGCTACATATAACAGCACTGTGTTTTCAGTTTCGATTCACAGTAAATGCTGCTCTGCAAGTTGTGCTTTGTTTGAGTTGCTTATAATATGCATTTGGGAACGCAACATCCATCATGAGAATCCTTTATAAATCTGTTGTTGACAAAGAGAAGCGTGGTCAGGTTTGCCTGCTCCCTCTAAGCGAGTCCTTCACTATTACGTTAGTCATCTGCAGCAGAATGAGGAAAACATAGCCTTGTCTTGACAGTCTGAAATCATAAGATAGGGGCCGAACGAAGTGTTAGCATAAGTGATTCAGAGGCTAGCGCTTTTATATCACCACTGCACATCCATAAACCCATCGTTGTGCCGTTTGATTTACTGCTGTAACTCACACAGATGGTGAGAAAATGAAAATAAATATGGCGTCTAGACCTTTGATGCGTCTCGGAGTGCACATTCATCTTCATAACTTGTATTTGTGTTACTCGGAGGTCTATGGGGGCAGACCGCTCAGAAGACTTGGACGCCTCTGTGTGGAGATCATGAAGAAAAAGAGCATTGGTTTTGAATTATTAAAATTCATGCACATTGGTATTCCAATACCGTTGCCGCTGTGTTTGAGATGGTAGGAAGAATCAGAGCTCTGGATTTTCTGCTCTCCCTCTCTTTTCTAGTGTTTGATTAACTACATTTTTTTTAAATGAAGTAGCCCTCACTCGGGTCATGGTGTCTATACGACCCCGATCGACTTTTACTTGATAAAAAAAAAGGTTCTCTTCATCTCAGTGGAATAAGATTTTGTGACTTTTCATATTATTATCTATCTACACACACACAAAAACTGGGCTTGATTTGGTTGTTCTGAAGGTATGTAAAAAAAATGTTTACACTTCTGGTCTTCGGGGTCAATATGACCCCGCATTGAAATGAATGGGAAATGTGAAAAAAAAACAAACAAAAAAAAAACATAAAAAATATATTTTCTTTATGTGTCATCTTTATGTTTACACAGAAATGAAGGCCTAGTACTAGAGCATAAATGCAATGTATCATAAAAAAATACATTTCATATGCAAGCTAATTCGGTAGTTGAGGAATTGTGTGGTATGTGGATACAAAAGTACTTTATATCTCCAAAAACACAGCATTAATGAATAGATGAGAAGTAAACAAAAAAAATTATATATTATTTGTATGATTAAAAATGTATATTTTTGTACAATTACTCAAAAAATTGTATAGACCCCGAAGCCCAGAAGTGTAAACATGAAACAAAGACCATTTGAAGGTTCAATTGTATTTGTTTACATTTGATCTGAGTTAATACATTAATAATTAGCTTCATAATTTTATTTGCATACTATTATTTAGACCTGTTGCATAAATTTAGGCTGTCTTAAAAACTAGTTTGACTAACTAGCAGTTTGCCAAGGGGGCAATCAGTCTTACTTTTCCAATATAAATTAGACCAAGCTACCTTTTTATGTAACTGGCCTTAAAAAGTTAGAAGACAAACTTTAAAGACTAGTCTAAGCAGTTTATGCAGCCGGCCCCAGGTCTACATTCACACGTTGCCATGCTCTCATTGGTTAACAGACAGTGAGATTCTTGTGGGTGCTTAGCCTTCATTCAGGAGACAGTACTGCATTGGATCTGTGACTTAACCGTCATCATCCTCATTATTAAGAAACCCTGCACACCTGCTTGTGTTTTTGGAGAGGTGTCTGCTTATGATGACATCATAGCTTCCAACCGCTCAGGATTTCTAGACCTGAGGGAAAGTCTCTCTGGCACACACACACACACACAACTCTGTCTGAATGGCTCTGGGTTATTTTACCCTCACCGCCCTTTTCTGCATTTAAATGAGGTTTATGTGTTTAACGAGCTCAAGCCAAACGCCAGAGCTGTGCTACTTTTCAGAAATGTGCTTGGGTTCTACTTTACATAAACTTTATAGGGTTTTGAGAAGTTGCTTACTGGCCCAGTCAGTTGTTTTCGCCATGTTTAGTTTATCACTCTTTCGCGTTTCTCTCTGTTGGCTTGAATTCCATTGACGTTCTGTAAGAGGAAACAGGCTCCTGTAACATACTTCAAATAGAGCTGTATGTTTCCTAAGCCATTTGTCTAGCAGACAGGCGGTGGGATTTATCAACAGACCTACTGACCTTTGCCCTTTAAACTTCAGATGACCCCACCCTTAAGCTCTCCTAACTAACCTGGGTCAATTTTATCCTTCACTATAGGCTATGTTTGAAGGTGCAATGGCCTTAGAGCATCTAGACACACATGCAGTCACAGTCCAGCACAAGGTCAATGCACTCAACATCTCTTTTCTCAGAAGGTCAAAGGACTTAATTGAGTTTCACAACACTGACAAGAATTGCTTAAATCCCAAAGATGCATACGCAGCATATAAACTGATTTGCAGAGGTCGCTTAGAATTACTGTGTTGCTTGTGCAACATTCGTTTATCTGTTATTTGATGGATCTATTTCTATTAATCCAATCAAAAATGCGACTTTGACTCAATAGGTGTTCTCTAAACGTTAATGAACTGTAGTAATACACAACCTTAGTCTGGATTTTAGTCTTTTTATTCAAGAAAATGTCATTTAAGCTGTTGGAATGTTCTGTTCTTAGGTGTTTTTGTCACCAATGATTATTGTTGGTTTTTCTTCAACTAAAAGTGTCTAAATAGGTGGTCACTGAGATAAAGTTAGAGGTATTCACCAGGTCATATGATTGTCTTTATCTAATGTGAGCAAACAACATTATTATAAACACGTCGGAGGTACTTCTGAAGAAACCTTTGATAATGACCGTACATCTGTCTTGCATGGCATCTTGGATTGCAGAAGATCAGGTGACACAAAGGACACCTGAGGTTATTGTTGGCAACGGGTCGATGATGTCAAAGATGTTTGCTTGTACGTGCCTTGCTATTGCGTCCTGCACACAGCTGTCAGAGTGCTCTCCTGTCAGTGGAATGCTAAACATGTAGCTGTGTGTATTTTTGAGACTTGAGAAGGACTGCAAATTGTGCATAAACATGAGGATTTCGCAATGATGCTGTGGAAGAACTATGTTGGGTTCCCCAAAGAACATTTCAATGAACCGTTCTTAAAGGAGTAGTTCACTTTTTAAAAAAAAAAAAAACCTTTGCTGATAATTTACTCACCCCCATGTAATCCAAGAAATCCATGTCTTTCTTTCTTCAGTCGAAAAGAAATTAAGGTTTTTGATGAAAACATTCCAGGATTTTTCTCCATATTATGGACTTCAATGGGGACCAAACGGTTCAAGGTCCAAAAGACAGTTTCAGTGCAAACTGCAAACTGTTCAAACGGCTTTAAACGATTCCAGACGATGAATAAGGGTCTTATCAAGCGAAACGATCACTCATCTTTTTTTTATATAACAAAGTTTAAGTTTTATAAGCACAAATGCTCGCCTTGCTCTGTTCTGTGATGCGCGTTCGTGACTCTCCTGTTCGAACTCGTTTATCAAAACGAACAAATATTTTCTAGAGTCAACTCATTCATTTTGTTCGTTGAATGAACCAAATGACACGAAAAAAGATTTGTTCATTTTGATGAACGCGTTCGAACAGGAGAGTCACGAACGCGCATCACAAAACAGAGCAAGGTGACCATTTGTACATATAAAACTTACATTTTTTAATTTACTTTTAAAATGGTCGATCGTTTTGCTTGATAAGACTCTTATTCATCGTCTGGAATCATTTGAAGCCCTTTGAAGCTGCACTGAAACTCTCATTTGGACCTTGAACCGTTTGGTTCCCATTGAAGTCCATTATAAGGAGAAAATCCTTGAATGTTTTCATCAAAAACCTTAATTTCTTTTCAAGTGAAGAAAGAAAGACAAGGACATCTTGGATGACATGGGGGTGAGTAAATTATCAGCAAAAGTTTTTTAAGAGTGTAGGGCTGAGCAGTATTTAATTTTCATGATAAGTTTATGACGGGTTTGCTAACCATAAAATTAGAATTGAATATCAAGATATTGCTCGTCCCTGTCGTGCACACACAGGAAAAGCTCAGGTCATGTGTTTAAAGCTCCTCACGTGGTGTGTGCTGGCATGAGTCTGACTCTGTCTGTAAACAAACCTCTAAATGTGATTATCCTCACATTTCTCCCATTGCACTTCATCAGTACATTTAAAACACCAGGAGACAGAAGCAGTCATGAATTTTAGGGTATGATTGAGTAGATCCAGTCATTTATGTTCTTATTTTCTATCATTATATTTGTATCTGTATTCTATCACACACACATATATATATTGTAATATTTGGGCTACCCTGCTTTGTAGAATCTGTCGATATTAGCCATTGGAAAATGCAACCTGTATTGGTTGACCACTGCTGTGTAGAGAAACTATCAAGTAGCTAGTCTGGAATGTGAGGGACTGTCTCGTGGCAGCTGGACTTTAAATGAAACACAAGGACACATGCCCACTATACAGTCCACCTGTGTACCATAACCAGAGACCCCAGATCTGTCATCATCACGCCTGGTCTCGAACGACCAATGAAATCTGCACAGCGAGACTCGAAGAACAGCTATTAGCATTGCAGCAAATATTTACATGGTGTGGATAGAATGTCAATAGAAACTGTACTGCCTCCTAGTGGTTACCCAAGAGTTTTAACCACTGGTCTATACAAATGACTGGATTGCTCTTGAGTCTTGACTTCATAAAAAGGGAAGCTAATACATTGCCATATTGGTTTTCACTAATATTTCCTCACATTCTATTCAATTAATGGGAAATCTTCAGATTTTGATTAGAAAACGTTACAGTTAGCGTTGAAATATGAATACTGATTTATGCTTTTAAGTTATGAATATACAACTTAATTTGCCATGTACAGTTCACTGTGCTAATATTTGTTACGTAATATTATTTTTCGCACAGTAACGAAACGATTCAAGTGTTTCGAAGCAGTAAAAATAACGACTTAAACAGTGGTTAAATTAATAATTAGCTCAAAAATATACAAAGAATGCGTAATTCATATGCAAACTGTCATGTTAGTAAAACGCCATAGAATTCGAGCTGACCTGTGCCTTTTTAACAGTTTCTAAGATCTTTAAGAGTCCGAAGTAAAAATGTCCAAAGTAAAAAGGCATCAGGGAAATAGTACACACATTTCACAACTTATTTAGAGAAATGACACCGACTCTGTCGGTAGGGAAATGTAAGATGGCCGCTCAAACACTTCCGGTGCAGTGAGCAATCCAGTCATTTATGAAGATCAGTGGTTTTAACAATAAACTGCCAGGCAATTGAATTACTTAGTTTTGCAGCCAGTGTCATTTTAATATTATTTGTGCACTATTATCATAATTATTCATATATTTTTGTATTTCTTTTGTAATTATTCATATATTTTTTGTATTTATTTTAGTTTGTCATTTTGTCATGTACTTTGTCATTTTCCAATTTTGTTTATTTTTCTATTTAGCTTTCATTTATTTTTATTTAAATGATTTTAAGCCATTTAGTACTGCAACTTTTTTATTTTATTTCAGTTTTTAGGGCAACCTTTCAAAATTGTATTTTATTCAGGAGTTTCTAAAACTACTTTTATATTGTTTTTGCTTTATTAAATATAAATGAAATGTTTTGATGGTTTTAAATTTAGTTTGCAATACTGCAACACTGGTTGCATTATTCTTTATGCACTTATCATTGTGACCAAGACTTAAATTTGAATGATTTTTGATCTTTTCTTTGGCAAAATCTGGTTAAAAAACTAAACAAAAACTTGTTTGCAATATTGCCAGTCTCAAAAGTCTTGGTCTTTCTGATCCTATCAGTTCTTCATGATGACATGTGTCTGTGATTGTATAGGTAAAGGCGAGGTGCGGATGCAGTTGGACAGCGCTCTTCAGGACGTCAACACGCGCTATGCCGTGTTAGAGGAGACAGAGAAGAGAGCTGTGTGTCGAGCTCTTATAGAGGAAAGAGGAAGATTCTGCTCATTTGTCACGATGCTTAAACCTGTCCTGGTGAGTGTCTGAACAGACTCTGGTTTTAAGATATATATTGTTTGTATTGACTATTGAGACATATATTTTCATGCCATTTTAACTAGAGGTTGACCAATTGTGGATACCGATATTTAGGTTTGATAACCGATATTTTTTGTTTAAATGGACACTGGATTAAAAACAAACATAATACTCACAATAAAACAGTGCTGAACTGAAATGTGCTAAATTAAATAAATATATAAATATGAATATATTAAAACTTTATACAGAAGAAAATAATTTAAACATTAAAATATTACAGCTTTTGTTAGCTATAACCTAGAAACATGCTTACATTTCATAGGTAACGGATTGCGAGTCCCATTTGTAAACAAGGATGTATTAGCTAGCTTTCATGAACTACGTTTTTACTGCATGTATTAATTTGAGCAATACAATTGTACCTTTATCATTCATGTTAGTTCATTCATAGTACATTAACTAAGGTAATAACAGATAAAATAAGAATTAACTCCATTTCAAATGCATTAGTAAATGTTGAAATTAACAAACGGAATGAAAAAATGGAATCTTATTGTAAAGTGTTACCATTTCACATAATTCCAAAGAGTCGTGCTTGTACTTCATTTTATTTTTTGATTCTAAATTGTTTTAATTATTTACTGTATTTTATTTTTATTATTATGATTTTTTTTTATTCTGAACTGTTTTAATTATTATGATTTCTTTTGATTATTTTAATTTCTTCCATGTAAAGCACTTTGAATTGCCACTGTGTATGAAATGTGCTATATAAATAAACTTGCCTTGCCTTGCCTTAAAGATGGCCATTAAAATGTAATAACGTGACAGGTTCATGCAAGTTATACTGTTATTATTCAATTCTGCATAAATATTGACTGATTGTTTTTTACACTGGGTAATGTCAGGATGAAGAGATAAGCATGCTTGGGGAAGTCACCCACTTACAGACAATTCTAGAAGATCTTGGAAACCTGACGGCTGATCCCAACACACTGCCCCCTGCTAGTGAACAGGTACTGCATGCTTCCAAATAGGCCAACATGTTACCACTTCATCTCTCTCTCTCTCTCTCTCTGACTGTATCTGGTTTGGTTTATGCAGGTTATTCTTGATCTGAAAGGCTCAGACTACAGCTACTCCTATCAGACTCCACCCGCCTCTCCTAGCAACACTTTATCACGCAAGAGCAGCATCAGTAGGTGAGTTTCAGGGTCAGGGAGAAATGTTCATTGATGCAAAAAGTGTTAGTTGATTACAGATTCATGCTTTTATATATATACAATTTTATCGTGCTGGTTTATTGCTGTCGTGCAATAGCAGTGGGCATTGATACTGTTTCCAATGCATTAGCCTTTATTGACCAGCCTTAAAGGAGCTGCCCATTAAAAACTGATCATTTCAGGCCGAGGGTCAGAAGGAAGGTTGAAAATAAATAGGATATTAAAATAATAAAATTCATGTCATGACCCCTTTAAAATCAGTTGAAACTGTATGAGTGGAGATAGATTGCTCATCTCTTTCTTTCTCTCACAGTAACTACACCTCTGTGCGTCATGTCCCGTCTCTGGACTCCATCTCCAGCGCAGTGGACGGGCTTCACCTGCGAGCCCCAGACCCAACACGGGTATTTCCACACCACCAAACTATTGGTCTAAAACGCACCTGGCCCATTTATGATGTACTAACCCTGTGAAACCCAAACAGTTGCAATAAGAAACTTTTGTTCAGCCCAAAGAAGAAAATATGGCGTCATCGCAGTCTCCAGTCTGTTGGGGTGCATAATCCAAACCCCCATCAAAATCCCAACCAAATTGATCACGGATACTTAAACATAATTAAACAGTACCTCAGTGCAGATAATATAGAAGATTTAATGAATGATGTATTGAAAACTACAGACCAAATATTTCAAGTGTAATAAAATATGACATTTTAGATGTTTTCATTACACTGGTTCATGTCATGGAAGTAAAATAGCCTAAAATCATAAAATTGACAGAGATGCTATGAACAAAACCATTGGATTTGTTTTTTTTTATGTTTAAATTTGACCATAAGTATCTATATTTTGTGATATAATTTAAAAGATAAAATCAAGATTTCTAATTGGGCACTGAAGAGACTACCCAAAAGCATTTCTTTTGGCCAAGGAATTGTTTTAGTCCAAGAGGGTTTGGATTTGACAGGATCTTATCTCCTCTTTCTCTTGTCCCTCACCTTCATCTCCTAGCGCTCACGCAGTCCTCTCCTCCTGGTCGGAGGGGAGGAAGGTGCTCGCTCTCTCAGTGAGGGGAATTCTCCAACAATCCCTCGCACCGGCCAGCGTGGCCCACACCACCGGCACAGGAGCACTGTGAGCACAGACTCAGTGTAGTGCTGTGTGTGTGTGTGTGTGTGACTGTGAATGAGTTCATTATTGTTGCATGGTCTACTGGAGATTGTCATTGTGCATGTGTGGAGGTTGTGTCTGTGTGAAGGTAGAGAGCGCCCTCTGCAGGCCATGATAGAGGGAGACTTTACACAGGGAGAAATAAGCTATTTTGAATGATTAGATTATCAGACCCCATTTCTTAAATCAAACACACTGATCAGTATACTTATCTACAACTATAAACCTGCATCCTGTATTAAAACTCTTATAGACCATTTCACAAGATGTAAACAAGACTGGTCCAGAAACACTTCCTGTTTCAGTTTGTAACTGTTTTCTTTATTTCACATGTAAAGAAAACATTTTAAAGATGTTTGTTTAACTTTTTGATTCAGTTTTAAATGTTCTGTTGGTTGTATTTTATCCCAGCTTTTATGTAGTGTTAAAAAAATGAGACAGGAAGTGCTTCTGGACCAGTGTTGTTTACATCTTGTGAAATGGTCTATAGGCCTATCTAAACATTTACCAAACTGTTATTAAAGTCAACATAAAATAGAAAATTACTATATATGTTTATTGTTAACAGCCATTTCGAAGGGCCGTAACAATGTATCAGGTCACGATATATCGTAATAGAAAAATATGTATCATGGATAGGATAGCGACAATATATATATTGTGTATAGTTAACCTAAAATTAAGATTTAAGGCCCTTGCACATAAACATGTAAAAAAAAAAAAAAAAATACTACCTCAAGTTATGTCAATCACGCACTTCTCTGAAACTTTCGTCCATCATAAAAAAAAAAAATCTGATCGGGTTCGATTTCCTGTGTTTTCGCATCCGTAGCAAGCTGTTTGAATGTTTTTTTTTGACAATTCAGAGCCACCGAATCACAAATTGGAAAAAACTTAAAATTTTAGACTCATTGTGCAAGGGCCTTTATTTAATTTATCATCAAATGTGGGAATGGCGTGTCAAATAGGGTAAACCTAAAAATTCACACTTTTATGATTTTTTTGTAAATTATTATATATTAAAAAATGTATTTAATAAAATACTTTATATATATATATATATATATATAATTAGTCAGGAACAGCATGTCTTACTATGTGTCTTACATAATTCTGTATTTCTAGAATATTCATGATTTCTAGAATATATCAATTTTAATTTTATCTCTTACAATTTTATTTTTGTAAGTGGATGCAGCACAATCACCAACAGAATTGGAAACCTTTAAAGGCGATTTTCTCAATATTTAGGTTTTTTTTTTTTTTGCACCCTCAGATTCCCGATTTCAAATAGTTGTATCCCGGCCAAATATTGTACTATGCTAACAAACCATACATCAATGGAAAGCGTACTTATTCATCTTTTCTCAATTAAAAAACGGACACATAAGACTGCATCAAGCGGCGCATCTTTTTTTGGAGGAGTTATATTGGCAATGCATGAGTCAAACACTCTAGTCTAGATGATACCGCTTGGTTTGGGTCGGATTGCTTTCTAACCTCAAACAAACCCAAACCACTCAAAGAGTTTTTCTATTGGGCCGAGACCGCCATGTTCATATATGCCTAAACGAACCGAACTAAGGGAGAAAATGCACCAACTTCCGGAGAAGGTGTGAAAACGCCTAAATCTTTATTATCTTCTGTTATTATCAGTGTTATGGTGTTTTGTTTTTCTTACCTGTAGTACGTTTTCATGGACTGACAGAGTTTATCCTTGTCTAGGATCAAGGCCAGAACTCTCCTAGCACAGAGAACGGGACCTCCATGCCCCCACTACACAAAGCTTACAGCGGATATGAGGAAAAACCCAGGACACTGTCCATGTCTGGCAAGGTACACGCTCTTTTGAATGCAGGAATGATCCTTGAGTCCTTTCCTAAACTAAAAGTACACCTTTTGATTGCACTGGAATTATTGCAGTCGACTTCTGATCTCTGATTGGCTCTCGCTCCTGTCCGTAGCCACAGTCAGCCAGGGAGCATCTGGGTCTCACTCTCGGAGGCGGGCTTAATTCGGAAGCTCCTCGAACCAGCCGAGATTCCCTCCACTGCTCCAGCGGATACAGCACCCAGACCACTACGCCATCCTGCTCGGAGGACACCATTCCCTCGCAGCACGGTCAGTGAGCGTGCACGTACACACACATGCATGAGCTTCTTCACTTTTATTCTTTTTCTGTTCTGTAAGTTTCCTTTTAAGTCTTCAATGCACTCACTTTATTCAGATTTATAAAAAAGTGCTCAATCTAGCTGTCTTTTTCTCTTTTGTGTTTTTGTATGGCATTTTGAATTTCCCCCTTTATGTTTTGACACTTTTACGTCGTTTTTCAACACAGTAATCTGATTTGTGGTTTGTGTAGGCAATAAATGTGCCACTGTGGCATTATAGGCCAATTGCAGACCAAATCTGATGCGCTTGCACAAATCACAGACTTAGATTGCTGTCCAAAGTGCGTGTTTTGGCCCTTTGTATATGTGTTAAATGTACTTTATTGTTCTTTTACAGCGGTAAAGAAAGAACCTCCTCTATATGGTAGGTTTCTGAATGTCATTGCATAGACTTGATTATTCTCATTGTGATCATATACCAATAATAAACATTAAATGTCTTTATTTTAGGAAATCCATGTCATGTTGCAGGCGTGCCTTTGTTGAGAGTGTTATCTGTATGCGTAAGATTTGAGTGTGTGCAACCATGAGATACAACATGCGGCATCTTGTCAGTTTTCAATGTCATGTTGTTCGAAAACTTCAAAGTGAGCTTTTGTGTGTCTGTTTTATTCATTTTTTTTTTTTTGGTAGGTAATCCATTGTAGTCTTCATGCAGACATTTTTAGGGCTGTCAATTTAGTGCACTAATAAGAAAAAAAATACATTTTTTTAATTTTATTTAATGCAGACATTTATAAATTAGCTTTTCTGCCAGTCCATAAGTTCAGGTTTCCACAAAGAAAAAATATACTTAATTTTTTTAAACATTTTTTTTATTTGCATTTTATTTTTGTTTCCACTGGAAAAGTATACAATTAATAAAACACCAACTCTATAAAATGTACAGTAAACCATTGCTTGTGTATTTTTCATTTAAATAAATTACTAATTAAAATTTAAACTGCTAGATCTAGATACTGTTACTTTGAAAACATCACACAGGGTAAGGGAAGTCTACAAGGCATTAAAACACATGTACGGACCAGCAAAGGGAAGATGTAGTGACAGCACAGAGCTTGTGACGGGCCCTAAACACTCTCACGCCATTGGGCTGTCTTTACTGTTAAGACATGAACCGCTTTTGTGTTTTTTTTCTTCCACTATCACTCCCTGCATATGTAATTTCAGCTTCAATTGTTTAATTTCATTGTTTTTTTCTTCTAAACAATGTAAAAGTGCTATCATTCAACATTAACGCGGTGTGTGACTCTCCTCTCTTTCAGACTATGACTACATCTCTCTGCACGGAGGAGAGGACGCCCACAGCCAGTCTGAATTTGATAAATCTTCCACGATTCCTCGCAACAGCGACCTGAGTCTCAATTACCGCAAAATGTTTATAAGCAAGAGGCCGGCGTCTACCGTCAGTCTGCTGATGGATCCCGAGCCTATAGGACCCCACACGGCCACTATCCGCCGGAAACCCTCCAGCAAGCCCAACATCCGCCGGGGAACCATCAGTGGAGGAGTGCCTATACCCATCTCCACACCACAGGTTATTCATCTTCTGAAACTTGAAGAATGTACAGGTTATCTATCATAATTTGTAACCAATCCAAAAGGAGTTCAGTTCCCATACATTTCATGTAAGATTTTAACATGCTTACAGCATCTTTCATGATTTGATTCAACTATATTATTGGTCAAAAATGAACACTTTTATTCAGCAAGTATGGATTCAGTTGATCAAAACACATATAGAAGAAGTATAAAATGCAATCTGCATTTTAACATAACTGTTTTTGACTGTGATAAGAAATGTTTCTTGAGCCACGTATTAGATTGATTACAAATTCTTATTTTAAATTGTATTAATACAGTATTACAGTTTTACTGTATTTTTGAGTAGTGTGTATATCCAGTATTTTATCATTCTAATGCAATGCAATTAGGGTTCTGATCCTATTTTACTGGAGGTATAAAACAAGAACCGAATCAATAGATCTTTTTTAATCCTTAGGAAAGTTCTTTTAGAGTTCTTATGAAGTTATGATAGAAATTCCAAATGGAATCCAAATTAGCATTGGAATATATTTGTTTGTGTGTTTTTGATTTGATTTGATTTGAGATCTTTATTTTGAACATGTAAATAATAAATAAAAATACAGTTATTAATCAATGAAACAAGGAATATTAATTAAAAGAAACAAAAATGAACAAGGGAAAAAAAATCCAAACTTTCCAATACTTGAAGAAAAAAAAAAAAAAAAACCTCTATTTACATGTGCAAAAAGGAGTAGGAAGAAGTAAAACTTATGTACTCCTACCCCCCTATACCATATTTAAACAAATACCTAAAAAAAAAAAAATAAATAAATAAAAAAAAACATAAGGATGTTTCCCGATACATGACAATATTTATACTACGGGTTAATTCAATATAAGCTCAAGTTAACACTGTGTTTCTCTGTAACTCTGGAATATAATTTCTTTGAACATCTTTTTTTTTTTCATATGCATTTTTAACATCCATGTACTGAGTTCTATTGAACTACTAAACCTTTTCGTTGTAATTTTAGGTGCCGCTGAAGGCATCTGTTTCTACCGCCGGCCTGAGCGGCAGCGAGGAGACCATGGGCCCTCCTGGGGGGATTCAGAGTAACCGGTTACCTGGCTCTGATCTGGCTCACACCAGACATAATCTCTGCACGTCGACTCAGAGTCTGAGTGCAATGCCGCCTCCGTACTATTCCATGTTCCCTGGCCAGCCACCAGTGGGCAGTGCAGAGCCGATGTATCAAATGAATAAGCAGCAGCAGTATGCGATGCACCAGCAGCAGCAGAGGCAGTACCAACAACAACAGCTGCAACACCAGTATCAGCAACAACACAATCAACAACTGTACAATCACCTTCAGCAATACAACCACGCGCAGGAGTCGCCGTATCAGGAGATACAGCAGAAACTCAAACGTCAGTGTCAGCAGCAGCAGATTCAAAACGTGGCAGCGCATAATTCCAGCGTGCCAGTTGAAAGCGGGCAGCCCGGCGTGGACCATCCCGACAGCGTTCCTGATCCGGGCAGCGGAGGTGACATGTTGAGTTTGATCCGGAGAGGGGTCAAATTACGTCGGACGCTCACCAACGATCGTTCGGCACCTTTAATCACCCCCAACCATCTCAACTGATTTCATTTTTGTTGAATTTGTCTGTGGCCTTTTATGGTTGCTTTCTCTGTCTTTTCGCTTAGTGACTTTTTTTTCCGTGCCTTTTAATTTGTGCAGTTTGCGTTGTTGTTGTTGTTGTTTTTTTTTAAGTGAAGGCAAAGCTGTTGACTAAAAGACGTTTGATTTAACTACTCAGTGCTCGAAGAGCAAACGTTTTGCCGTGTCCTTGCCTCTCAAATTACAGTTAATTCTGCAGGCTGTTTCACATATATGTATACTTATAAATACAGATATATATGTATTTAGAGATCTTGATCGAACGTCAGAGCTTAAGATATATTAAAGTTATTTGTTTGTCGTATTCGCAGAGATTAAGCACTCAGCCTTTCTGGTTAGAGATCAAAACCTTCTGTATATATTAGTGACACAATTGAAAGACTGTTGTATTATTATTCATTTCGTTTTCTTGTTTGTTTTCGAAATTAGACAAAGCAGCACTAGGCGTCTATTTTTGTACAGTTTAGGGTAACAGAAAACTGCACCACTGCCTTTAATCCGCCCAATGACTGGATGCGAATGCAGCCAGTGAGAGAAGTGGAGGGATGCGATTGGGTGGATGAATGAAGGACTGGAATAGTGGAAATTATTTGTGTTGCTTATGACTGTGAGAGCTTACAAAGGCATCACTGTGGTTATTTATTCAATCTGTTTGATTCTGAATCATTTTTAATCGTTTGTTTACCAAAGCTCTAATGCTGTAGCCCCGTAGATGCGTATAAACCTGCTCTCCTGGAGGATTTGCTATAAAGACTCAATTCATAAAACCTCAAACTTGTGGCTTATGACTTTTTTTAAGCGTTCTTTTGTATTTGAATCAATAACTTCTTTAAATACATTTATTATTACGTGACAAGAAAGTGAGTGACTATCAAATCGCAATTGCTTCGATTTAATTGAATATGTGCGTGTACAGTATGACCTTCATGTTCAGAGTAAAGTGCGGCATTGAGTTCTTTTACGCACGAGCAACTTTATTTAGTGTATTTGGGAAGGCAACTTGCATATTGCCATTAACAAGAAGCGCTTATAAACTCAACAAAAGAGATGCTTTTAAGACCAAAGAGAAAACAAGAGACCTGCACGCATAAAAAATAAAAGCATGATGGTTTAATGTTCGAAAATGAATTTAGTCAATCATAAATATTAGTATTGTAATTTTACTGTTGTACTGTTGAATCAATTATGGTCCCACTTTATATAAGTGGCTTTAAGTACAATGTACTTTCGTCAAAAAATAAGTACAATGTACTTATTGTGTTAATGTTGTGTTGTAAAACACTTTTGCTGCTATTGAGGTGTGATACGGGTATGGTTAGGGACAGGTGTGTGTCGTATGGGTGGGTTAAGGGTTAACAGTGTAATTACAAATGTAATTAAATAAAATAATTACATGCAGGTATTTTTAAAATATAAGTACAATGTAAAAACACTAAGTCCATTGTATCGAATTATTAATTTCAACTTAAGTACTTAAAGCCACTTAATATAAAGTGGGACCTAAATTATTGTTTTTTTAAATTATTTTAATATTTTCATTTATTAGTAATGATAATCGTCTTAAGAAAGAATTTTATTTTAAAGTATAAATATTATTTTATTGTCATATTGTTATGGAATCGCCATAACAAGCAAACCTGGAGCTTTTTTTATTTATCGCATTTTAAATCGTAATCGCAATATTTGTCTGAAAATTCGCAATTCGATTTTTCGCCAAATTGTGCAAACTCTACTCTTGACAAATCATTCTAATCCCAAATGCGAAACTAACATCATTAACTGCTCATTATGACCGCTTTCTCTTACAAAGGTGTGTGTAAAATGTTGCGAATTAAAGTGGTTCTGTGGGTTTTATTTTTTCGAATATTGAATGTCATTTGAGACCTTGCCCAGGTGCTTGCCCTATTTATTTTTATCAATTTAAAGAAAGAAAAAGAAACATTTACTTGAGGGTTTCTTTGTGTGGATTACCCAGAATTCTGTTGGTCCGTGATGCACTTGTGGTTATTGCAGCTTTGCTACGCTACACATTTGTTTTCTTGAAGGAAAGTAAAAGTGCATCACCAATACCTTGAACTTTTTTAATATTGAATCTATGCATCAAGCATCATTTTTAGCACCTCTAGATTAAATTCTAAACCATTGATGGGGAAATAATCATTTTAATATGAGTGTAATAAACCTGTAATCCAGAAGCACATCTGAGGACTGACAGCATCTCGCCCGTCTTTGATGTCTTATAATGGATCATATCGTCACACACACACAGGTGCGCTTTGAAGTTTCTTTCCTGCATCGAAAGTTGTTTCTTCATATCTTACCGCATTCTTTTATTACCACCCCTATTTTTGTATACTTTTCAGGTTATTCTCAATCTTGGGTTACTCCACACCTGTCTGAGGCGCATCTAGGATTTCTCGCCCCCCGCTCCATCTGTATGCTCAATTGTCTTCAGTGATTTCGACATTGCTAGAGACGTTCTCTCCTGACACAATGCTCCTCCGGCCTTTTACTGTAGGATTAGCTTGCAGCTGCTGTATGGGCCTTGTGGAGTGTAAAAGAATATCATTTTACTCTGAAAGGTGAGCTGACCGAGGTGTGTTTCCACTATTGTACAATATTAGTGCCGCTGAGGTGTTAATTGGTGTTGAGGAGAAGGTTTCCTTGCTGAGATATGAAGATGGTTGTAGTTGCAGGGATTTTTCAGTTCAACCTGATTATGAGGAAATTTGCAAGATGTGAACATTCTCACTTTTTTGATTCCTTGACCTGATGTGAAAAGAAACTACCAAACATCAAAAGGAAGGGATAAATGTCAAATTAAAGATATCTTAATAATTGTGAACTTCCGGTTTGTGTCCAGTGACATTTTGAAATTTGTTTTTTGAGACTTTCAGATATTAGTAGTAATTAATATCGGTGTGTGTGTGAATGGGTGAATGTGAGGCAATATGTAAAGCGCTTTGGTGGCCATTAGGTCTATGAAGGCGCTATATAAATGCAGTCCATTTACCATTTTACCATTTACCATTAAAGCAATAAACCAGAAGAAAGCTGTGGGTAAGTGATGTTTATAATGTTAATGTGGGTGGTTACCAGGGTGTTGCTATGCAGTTGCTACTGTTATAGAAGGCAAACAAAGTCATAAACCACTTCAAAAGTTTGGGATCAGGTTTTTTTTTATATACATACATTGTATATAAACATCCATATGAATCAGAAGCTTCAAACAACATGGAAGGTTAAAATATATCAATGTTCAAAATGAAATGGGAAAACACATTAATTTGTTCTTATTTTAAAAAATAAAAATAATAATATGTGGAAGTTTACATCTTTTTTCAATCTTATTTAATTAATTTTAAGTTTAACCTCGAGAAGGTAAGGTAAAACTTTATCCCATTAGAGAAATGTACGTACCAGACCATCAGGGTTTTCCAGTCCAGCAGGGACACCTGGGTTTGAAAGGTATATTTATTTATATCAAATCTCAGTCGGCTTTGTCTATTTTTTAAGACTGTTGTACACACATTTACTAAGTATTTAATTGTAATAGTTTAAATCTTAGTTTCAAAGGCTGGAACCTGTTGGAAAATCCTTAACACCTATCTACATTTTTTTTTTTTTTTAAATTTACGTGTGAGAATTTTACAATAACCAGAACAGTTTGTTTGTCCCATGTCAGGCCTGGGCATGGTGATATTAATATTAACTATTTATTTATTTTTGTTTACTTCTGTCGATGAAAGAAAATCTGTTCAATGTCAACTCCAGCAGGTCCTGCAGTAAATCTGAGGTAAATGTTTTTCAGTCATTCACACAAACGGACTCCCTTCTATGCGTAAGACGGTCGGTCATGTATCACGGTGACTAAGCGTTTTATATAAAGGTCGTGTAACTTTACCGGTCACGATAATTCGGTGATCTCATCTGACCTAAATGCCTCTCGGTATTGCTGTGTGATTGCAGTGCTGACTCACCTCCTGCAGTTCCAGAGAAGAACATACGGTGGCGCTGCGACCCACGCCGAATCTTACATCCGTCATCACTTCCAGGAACATCGGCCGCTTTTCCCAAAATAGGAGGGTAATCAATTCTCCCGAGAAACAAAGTAAAGTGGCGGTGTAAGTAAGGAATGAATCCAGTGAGAGTGGTCATGTGTAAACTATTTTCTTCCGAAATTTCCTGTCAGCTGTTAGGATGTGGGAAAAATGTTGAGTTACAGTAAAAAGAGGAAGGGGCCTGTGGATAATCACTGATAAACACTAGCCAATGTTTTACTTAATATCATTACAGTGTCCCCTGAATGTGTTTGGACACTTAACGTTAAACCATGATTTAAACATCTTGAAAGGCATTGTATTGAATAGGCTAGAGACACTTTTAAAGCTAAACATTTCAAATATAAGTTAGCTTTTAAGCATAGAAATATTCGTAAATATACTGTATTATCTATTTATAATGTACATATTTGACATTCCGACATTGTTGAAGAGTGACTTGAGTGTCCAAAAATGTTTTGGTGCCATTGTAATCTCATGGTAACAGCTTCCTATTAAAGTATTGCATTGTATTGCGACAGAAGGTTCACTGGCTGAGGTAAATGAGTCATATACCTGACCAAAGATAAAAGTAACCACAGTCAATTTAATCAGTTTTTTGTTTGTCGTTGTTCTAACTCCATCTGTTGACCCTTTATGTAATCCTGCTTTCTTTCTCCATTTGGGACGAGTTGATTGCTCCAGCTTCTAAAATAAGAGAGTGTGTGTGTGTTTAAAAGAGAGAGTGAGTCAGTGAGATCCCATTACTGAGGCTTGTGCTCCTACTAACTCGCTTCCAGAATGTTATCCACCAGCAACAGCTTCCTCAACCACAAAACACACACACGCTCACTCACTCACTCACTCCAAACAGCCATTGAACTTAACCTTTCCTCCAGTTATCCCCTTCCTTATCATGTATGTTTTGTGTTTTACACTAAACCAAAAACACCTGTGTTACTTCCCTTGGGATTTCCCTCCCTTACACTCATGTAGATCCATGCCTCTGTGACCTTGCCGGTCTTGTGTGTGTTTAGGTCTGTCCATGAGAGGATCAACCTGTGACACATTCACACAGGCTTTTGATGTCTTTTGTAAATTTGAGATATAACATTCATTAGCATTGACTCCATAGCCTGATTCAAGGATTTGTTCACCGAAGAATGCAATTTTTGTCATTTACTCACCCTCATGTCATCCCATTTTGACTGACTGACTTCAGTGGAAAACAAAATATGTTTTTAGGAATGTTCATGCTGCTCTCTTCCATACAATATACAGAATAGTAAGTATAGGGCTATCAAGGACAAAAAAAAATTAAAGTCTTAAGAGTTTAGTGTGTCGAATAGACTCAATTAATATTTATTCACCAAAAACTAAACAAAAATTATCTATTCAGTGCAGTTATTGTTAACTAAAACTACAATGATTAAATATTCATTAAAAAAAATTAAATCTTAATAGTACAGTAGATGATAAACTTAATGTTAAAATGACTTGTGCAAGTTTAAGTTAAATTATAAAATTACTAGGTTAGACTTTATTTTATTTTATGTCTGTGTTAGTGTAGTTGTGAAATTAAGTATTAAGTATTAAGAGTGGGATTAAGGTTTGGTTTAGGGTTAGTTGCATGTAAGTATGCTTAATTTATAGTTATTGCTATAGTTACTATACATGTAATGTGTAATAAGGACACTAAAATAAAGTGTTATAAAGTGCTAAAACTGAAATAAAACATAGTAAAGCTAAAACATGCATATTTAAAAAAAAAACAAGTGACAAAAGCACATGGTAAAATAAATGAAAACTGAAAGCAAAAGATAAAAGCTAATTAAAAATATTCAAAACAAATATATTAATAATACTAAAATAACACTGCTCTCGTGATACTTTTTATGGTGCTGCTTATTTTAGTAACCATTCACTTTAATTATATGTAAAACAGCAGCTGGAACATTCTTCAAAACATTTCTTTTTGTGTTCCACTGAAGATAGAAACTCAATGACATGAGCTTGAGTAAGTGATGCCAGAAATGTCCATTTTGGCTTAACTATCCCTTTAAGTCGTGCCAGAGCTGAAGTCGGGTGCTCACTGTGTGCTTTCTCTTTCTCCTCCCTCCTTCTCATTATGTGGTCTGAATAAACTTATGTCTGGTTGTGTCTTCTGTAGTTGTGCCAGCTTCTGTGATTGGTCATGGTCGAGATCTCTGACGCACTGCGTGATTCTGCCCTGATCTCCTCCTGATCGCTGCAGCACGCCGGCGTCCGTCTCATAATTGGCTTTTAAAATCCTGCTGTACAAAACACTTTCTCATAACTGATGAGAAGACATAACAACTACAGTATGTTCTAGACTTAGAGAAATAAAGGCACACCTCTCTCTCTCTCTCTCTCTCTCTGTCTCTCTCTCTCTCTCTCTTTTTTTCATATATGTAATTTTAGAAAATTCAATTCTGATAGTTTTGACTCCTGCAGGTAACTGCATATAGAAAATAATAATTCCTTTAAAATGTAATGAAAACAACTGTACTGTTTAATATTTCTTCTGTGGAAACTGTTCTTTGATGAATAATAGAAAGTTCATAAAAAAGAACAGAATTTATTTGAAATAGAAATCTTTTGTAACATTATAACCTTTACTCTCTCTATTGATCAGTCTATGTGTTCTTTCTAAATAAATATATTCATTTCTTAAAGGGATAGTTCACCCAAAAGTGAAAATGTCGTTCCGTACCTGTAAGACTTTCGTTCATCTTCGGAACACAAACTACTTGCGCAACTACCACTCAAAAAGTTCATAAAGAGATCGTAAAACTTAGAATTGATTGGTTTAGTCCAAATTTTCTCAAGAGACTCGATCGCTTTATATGATGACCGATTGAATGTAAGTTTTTGTTCACATATAAACAAACATTCATTAACTCACACATGAGTTGTGCTAAACGCAAGCTCAGTGATGTTCGCGTGAGTTCAAAAACCAATGATGTTCATTCTTGTGTTGCGCATCACGTTTCATCGTCCGCAAGAACCAATGAGGTTCATTCTCGTGTTACTCATCATGTTTGATCCTCCGCAAGAACCAATGACGTTCATTCTCGTGTTACGCATCATGTTTGATCGTCCGCAAGAACCAATGAGGTTCGTTCTCGTGTTACGCATCATGTTTGATCGTCCGCAAGAACCAATGAGGTTCATTCACAAGTTACGCATCATGTTTGATCGTCCGCAAGAACCAATGAGGTTCGTTCTCGTGTTACGCATCATGTTTGATCGTCCGCAAGAACCAATCACGTTCATTCTCGTGTTACGCATCATGTTTGATCGTCCGCAAGAACCAATGAGGTTCATTCACGTGTTACGCATAATGTTTGATCGTCCGCAAGAACCAATGAGGTTCGTTCTCGTGTTACGCATCATGTTTGATCGTCCGCAAGAACCAATGAGGTTCATTCACAAGTTACGCATCATGTTTGATCGTCCGCAAGAACCAATGAGGTTCGTTCTCGTGTTACGCATCATGTTTGATCGTCCGCAAGAACCAATGAGGTTCATTCACGTGTTACGCATCATGTTTGATCGTCCGCAAGAACCAATGAGGTTCATTCACGTGTTACGCATAATGTTTGATCGTCCGCAAGAACCAATGAGGTTTGTTCTTACATGTCAATCAGGTTCGGTTCTAAATGTAAATAAAAGCCTAAAGAAAATCTGTTCATCATATATAAGTCTCTTCAGAAAAATTTGATTAGTTTTACGATCTCTTTATGAACTTCTTAAAGTGTCAGTTGCGTTGCTGTCAATGGAGCCACAGAAAGCTCTCAGATTTCATCAAAAAGATCCTCATTTGTGTTCCGAAGATGTACAAAGTCTACTGGGTTTGAAACGACATGATGGTGAATAACGTCAATTTTCATTTTTGGGTTAACTATGCATTTAACAGAAGTCTTGTAACTGGTCCCAAGCATTTGAATGGTACTGTATAAGCATGTCTTGAATACTTGGACATATATTTCCTTGTTTCTCACGTTTTATAGTGCTTTCTCATTGTTTTTCAAAGCTTGAAAGTTTAAGCCCACATTGCTTATAATTGCATGGAAATTTTAATATTTAAAATTATAATAATTTTAATATTAAAAAATGTATATTTTTTCTCCTTTTGTTTTCCACAGAAGAAAGAAAGTCAGATGGGTTCGGACTAGTCACGAGATGACAGTGAGTAAATGATGACAGAAGTTTCATTCTTTGATAGGCTTATCTCTTTAAGTCTTTGTAATGAGCGCCTGGCTGGTCATAAACTGAGAATTATGTCTTTATGAATGAGAGTTTACCCCCCACCTTTCCCCGAAGCATCTGTTGCAATCGACATATAAAGGGAGAAAATGCTTTTACGACCCTAACGGTTAGATTAACTAACTCTTTGAGCCTTGCATGCAGTTTCTGTTTGCTAACTCATTCAACACAAACTCTGCTGTGTCTATTTGAGTTATTACACGTACTGTGCAATAAATGAGTTAATAAGTATCCACAGTTATGTTTGAAGTATGAATCGGTTAAATATCCTCTGGATATTGTGGGTAAGCAGAGTCATGTGACTAACAGCTCTTGGACTTCATCCCAGTTTGAAAAAGGCGGTTTGTCAGTGGAGTGTTTTATTACACCCTTCCTAAAATTGCTTTAACAATTTCTCAAATTGCGATAACGCCTGATTTGTTCATATGTTTCTTGTTGTAACACAATATGACCATAAATTATGTTTAATTAAGTTTCTTAGTTACACAATTACATTACAAAATATTTAGCTTGCCACACTTACAAAATAAATTTTTTTTGGGGAGTAGCACATCATGGTACATGATTTTAGTGCCATTTCAAGTTCTGCAGTATTGTACGTTATACGTTTTTGGACATAATACCACTTTCAAAACTTATACTATACCTTGATACAGTGATCGTATCAGATGGCAGTGCTATAGTACTTTGAAATATACCATGATAATGAAATTCATGTGACATGGTTTATATATTGTCCTCCATTGTATGTTTACGAATACCATAACACCATAGTACTATATAAATTATTAGCACTTTTTAGTACTCTTTTGTAAGTGCATGATATCCAAGCACCATGGCATTACCATCTGATACAATCACTATCAATCATCAGTATTTTTTTGTAACAATGAACTTTATTAGGATTTTTTTGCATATACAAACAATTTGTGAAAGTGTCTTGTTTGTTTCCTTCTCAGAGACGAAATAAGATATTCTCTTCGCCTCTTTTCAGTACAAAGAATATGGAGGTACACAAAAGCTTTGTTTTTCTGAGGGAATTTTCCCGCCAAAACGCAGCTGGCGCTGTATCTAGTATCCTGGTAACCATGGTGACGGAGCCTGTGCCACGTGAATAAGGAGGCTGTTCTGTGTGTTCAATTACAGTGCCACACACTCTGATTCTGTAAGTCAGTGCCACATGGACTCTGTGTGTGTGTGTGTGTGTCATGCTGAGGTAATGAAGTTTGGCAGATCCCCAGGAGTCCTCACCACCTCTCCATACTCCTTGAGTTACATGTTCCCTCTCAGACTTCAAACAACATCTTCACAATAAAGCCTGAAATATAAAGGTCCTTTAATAGACACTGGCACTGGCAGTCAGTGAATGTACTGTAAAATAATAGCTGTCCGTCGTCATGGTGCCGTTTAACCACTAGAGGCCCCTGTAATGTTAGTCAGGAGTGTGTTATTTTGTAATCCTGAAAACAGGTTTCCCACACAGGTGGAAACTCCAACTTTGGCTCTTTACTATTTACCTGCAGTTTAGCTCATCCATCCATCCATCCTTCATTCTGTTGCTCCATCCACCATCCTTCATTCTGTTGCTCCATCCATCCATCCATCCTTCATTCTGCTGCTCCATCCATCCATCCATCCTTCATTCTGCTGCTCCATCCTTCATTCTGCTGCTCCATCCATCCATCCATCCATCCTTCAATCTGCTGCTCCATCCATCCATCCTTCATTCTGCTGCTCCATCCATCCATCCATCCTTCAATCTGCTGCTCCATCCATCCATTCATCCTTCATTCTGTTGCTCCATCCATCCATCCTTCACTCTGTTGCTCCATCCACCCATCCATCCATCCATCCTTCATTCTGCTGCTCCATCCATCCATCCATCCATCCATCCATCCTTCAATCTGCTGCTCCATCCATCCATCCTTCAATCTGTTGCTCCATCCACACATCCATCCATCCTTCATTCTGTTGCTCCATCCATCCATCCATTCATCCTTCATTCTGTTGCTCCATCCATCCATCCATTCATCCTTCATTCTGTTGCTCCATCCATCCATCCTTCATTCTGTTGCTCCATCCATCCATCCATCCATCCTTCATTCTGCTGCTCCATCCATCCATCCATCCTTCAATCTGCTGCTCCATCCATCCATCCTTCAATCTGTTGCTCCATCCACACATCCATCCATCCTTCATTCTGTTGCTCCATCCATCCATCCATTCATCCTTCATTCTGTTGCTCCATCCATCCATCCATTCATCCTTCATTCTGTTGCTCCATCCACCATCCTTCATTCTGTTGCTCCATCCACCCATCCATCCATCCTTCATTCTGCTGCTCCATCCACCCATCCATCCATCCTTCATTCTGCTGCTCCATCCACCCATCCATTCATCCTTCATTCTGTTGCTCCATCCATCCATCCATTCATCCTTCATTCTGTTGCTCCATCCATCCATCCTTCATTCTGTTGCTCCATCCACCCATCCACCATCCTTCATTCTGTTGCTCCATCCACCATCCTTCATTCTGTTGCTCCATCCATCCATCCATTCATCCTTCATTCTGTTGCTCCATCCATCCATCCTTCATTCTGTTGCTCCATCCACCCATCCATCCATCCTTCATTCTGTTGCTCCATCCACCATCCTTCATTCTGTTGCTCCATCCACCCATCCACCATCCTTCATTCTGTTGCTCCATCCACCCATCCATTCATCCTTCATTCTGTTGCTCCATCCATCCATCCTTCATTCTGTTGCTCCATCCACCCATCCACCATCCTTCATTCTGCTGCTCCATCCATCCATCCATCCATCCTTCATTCTGTTGCTCCATCCACCATCCTTCATTCTGTTGCTCCATCCATCCATCCATCCATCCTTCATTCTGCTGCTCCATCCATCCATCCTTCATTCTGTTGCTCCATACACCCATCCATCCGTCCATCCACCCATCCATCCATCCATCCATTGAGGAGATCCCCCCTTCTATGTGAAGCGCTTTGAGTGTCCAGAAAAGCGCTATATAAATGTAACGAATTATTATTATTATTATTATTATTATTATTATTATTAATTAATTATTAATTATCCTTCATTCTGTTGATCGATCCATCGATCCATCCATCCATCCATCCATCATTTGTTCTGTCTATATGTCTGTGTGTCATTGTCTTACATTCTGTTGCTCTCTATCTATCTGTCTTTCTGTTTCTCCATCACTCTGTTTGCCAGTCCTTTTCCACAAACAGTAACATATCAAACCTGTATGTTTTTGTTTGAGAGAGTGAAGAAGTAGGCTCATTGGTGGATGCTTCTGGAACAACTGTTAGTGAGCCGCAGCGATAGAGAGAGTAAGATCACGTGAGTCTCTCCCCTCAGCACAGCGGACTCATTGACCTTTTGTTCTGTCCTACTCTGCTGTGCGAGAAGGGGAAGCGCGCGAAAAGCCAGCCAATCGTGGCGCGGTGCGGCAGCTGGAAGAGACTACAATGGCAAACAGTTCTGACAAAGGGAGCGCCTGTTCCCGCTCAATGCAGAAACACTGGCAGTCTTCCAAATGCATTCCTCCTTCAGAGGGAAGTTGAGAAGCACGGGGTTCAGAATGAGGAAGCATGCGTCTGTATTGTGCTGGCTGTTCTTTTTCTCCCTTTCCGTTTGAAAACCAAGTTGGACAGTTAAGTGTTTCGTCAGCAGCGGTTTACCGCACATCCAGTCAGATAGTTTAGTATAGATAGAGGTCTTTTGCGATATTGACTTTTTATTGTGCATAAAAAGAAACGTGTTCGTAAAGTGTGGTACAGTCTAAAGCTAAACTGAGTTCAGAACTATATGTGTTGCAGAATTCCAGAAAGAAGTGTTTAGACTACAGATGAGGATTTGAAACGGGCAGCGTGGGCCTCTCGCTCACTGTGTAGTAAATCCAGTCGTGAGACAGCATGAATGGGGTTGCAGCTTTGGCAGTATCTCCAAAGTCAAACAGCTTTAGCAAACAGAAGCCCACTGCAGTACCGTTGGCTCTGTCAACGTGTCACATTTCCACGGAAGAACTCGAGTAGTCTCTACGTTTACCCAGAAAAACCCACCTCCCCCTTCTCACATTACGAATGCAAAGTCGAAAGATGCCTTTACGCCCTCTTCCCAAGATCCCCCACTTGATCCCACCCATTTATAACTGACAGTTATATCAATACTCCCACCACGCTCCCGCTGTGTGCTGCACGTGTGAACTCCCAGGTGTGTCTTTAAAATTTGCCTTCAAAGACCCTCCTCTTTCCCATAAGTAACGTCACTTCTCTTTAAAAAAAAAAGAGATAGAAAAGAAACCTGTACCTTTAACTAACCCATTTTTATCTTTTCTGTCATCCACTTCCTCTCACAGTGTAATGCAACGTGTCTGAGACATCTGATCTTTCTAACAGTTGTCATTAGCGTAGCCTACAGAGAAACCTGTATAAGGGCTTTTTATTGCAAATGGTGGTTGGCTTGATGACAGCTTAAGAGAACATCTGGGTGGACAGAGATTTAGAGAGAATGTGCAATGCATATATATATGTATTGTAAAAATGTTAAGATATGAGTGGTGCTTGCATGTGCATGTTGCAGGGTAAATGGTTATGCACAGACGTTTGTTAAAATAACGAATACTAAGTTGTTTATTTGTAAAATAAAATGCCTTATATTGACCAGAATGACCAGAATATTATGATTTGGTGAGAACCCACCTGGAACAGTTTAGCATTGCCCTAGAAACCAACAAGAACACCTTGGCAACCGCATCACTGAACATACTTATTAGCAACATGGCATAGCGATGGCAAGTTATGCATGAGCAAACGCATTTAACGTTTTCTTCCGAAAACACGAATACGGTTATTTTTACAATTACGTTTGGCGCTGCAGACACGCTTTCCCTTTAAAAATATGTGGAAAATGCGAGTTTCAAAAAGTTCAGACTCATCTGGAATATATGTGTTTTAATGGAAGACTGTATGTGTTTCTGCTTTACAGGTATCAGAGCGGCACATGCATTCTCCAGGGAACTCAAAGTGTGTGCGAGTTCGCATAATGCACATGTGTGTCTGCACACTCATCTAAGTCTGGGCTCAAAGGGTCGTGATGGAACACAGTCAGTGAAGATCCTCGGACGCCCTCTGAGACCACAGTATGTGAAGCTCACCAAGGGGGAGGAAGGATCCTGCGAAGTCTGTAATCACACCGACACACACTCCTCCCTGACTCGGGTGAAAGAATGGAAAAGCTGTCGCTCGCAGGCCACACAGCCGTCCCACGCAAACATGTACGTATGCCACACGCATCTCACACTGGAATTTAAAGCAAAGGCAGTGAAAACTTCATGGGCGGTTGAAAGGTTTTGTTCACCCTACTCCTCTGCATGTCATTAAAGCAAACACAGAGAGTGGTTTCCGTCAAATCATGAGCTTTGGTTTCATTTCAATCTCAGAAAAGAACTGGGAACATTATTAAAATATTTCAGATCGTCAGAAAAGCTTTTTGCTGGTGCGTTTTCTTTGCTTTCAGCTTTCTAATGCTCAACCTCAAACACAGCTCTTCCTGTCAGAGCTCAATGGAAACTGAGGTTTATTTGTTCAAAGTAAAGTTGTTGTTGTTTTTTATAATTAGAGAGACTCGTATAAATGTGGATGCTGGTTAATTGGCCAATGTCAGTCCATTTTACATGATTATGTCCATTTGTCAGTTCCAAAATCTACCAACATCCATGTGAATGAATAAATGTGCATTTTCAAATATTTGTAGTGCAGTATGACTAAATTTTGAGTAAGATAGAATGATAAGATTGAGGTAATTGTTGCTAAATTTAAATAATTACTCTATTTACTCGTAATGCACTACCAAATAGTTGAACCTTATAAATTATATCAACGCTATGTATATAAAATTGATTTTGAATATTTTTCAAGTCTCTCATGCACACCAAGGCTCCATTCATTAATCAAGAACACAGTAATATTGTGAAATATTATTGCGATTTAAAAGAACCGTTTTCTTTTTCGCAGCACATGTTAGTTATTCATGTGATGGCAAAGCTGAAAATGTCAATGTTCCTTTGTAACAGTGTTAAAGTTCTTGTCACTTCTTTGCTGAATCAAACAAAATATCGATTTGTTCAAAAACAATCTGTAGCTTTATAACCCAAAACAAGTTTATTGACCCTATTTCCATGCCATACTAAAACAAATCAAAGTAGGTCATTGTTTAATAGTCATTCTGTCCTGACCTTTGTACCATGATTGGATGAATGTCATGTACCAAGAACATTGATCAATGGCCACGGCAATGTCAGAGAGACACTGCTATTTCATCAATTGAAAATGAACCTTTATCAGTAGAACGCCATGTCATGATGAAACTGGGAGAATGCCAGACAGTGTCTGTTCATGTATGTGATAACAGCTTGCTAAAAAATTAAGGCTAATGTAGGCTACTAATACACACACTCTAGGTATAGTTACCATTACACAACTACCATATGCCATCATGTGAAAAGAGCATCTGTTAAACTTATCATGTTGGTTCTGGCCAATGACATCACTCACAGTCTCATTCTAGCCCTTCATGATGTGTGTCAAGTCAGAAAGCTGGTAAAAAAACACAGACTTTTTGATCATAGCCAGTTTGATGACTGACCTACATCATAGAGTCATTCGCTGAGTTTGCCTGACAATGAATATGACTATCAGGCTACCCAAAAATGATCATTCTGTTATCATTTACATAACAAGAACAGGGACTGTTGTTTCAAGCTAAAAAAGAGAGAAAAACTCCAGTCTGTCAATTGAACTGGTTTGTGAACGAAATATCAGAGCAATTTTAAACAAGATTAACTAGACCACCCAGGTGAAAAAGACGTTGTATTAAATGTATTAAAAATATATTTGAAATACAAATGTTGTATTTACGACATGCTTATTTAAAGTTTACTAAAAATTTATTTTATTGCATTTTAGTATTATTTCTAAAAAGTATACTAGAACTACATTGGTAATAAATATATGTTTAAATACACTTTTAAGAAAAACACTATAGAAAATCATACTTTTAATGTTTTTCTTAAAAAGTATATTATTAGTACATTGGTAATAAATGTATGCTTAATTATATTTTTAATAAATATGCTAATGACAATCATGCTTTAAATATGTTTCTAAAAAGTGTACTAGAAATGAAAGCTTTAGCATAAGTTCTGCCAGGAAGACTTAATTACCGCGTCACGTGTTACATTCAGGCTATCCAATCATGTTCTTATTCTTGTGGTATAAAAGATCGGTACTTACACATGTTTGAGTTCGCAGATGCCGACGCGACAACAAGTAGATGCTGTCGCATTTATTCATGTTCTCGTTCAGTCGCCAGGCAACGTGTTTCAGGATATTTTGCTTACAATTTGCGAGATCCGACGATGTCCCGCCCTATTTCCTACCGCACGTCGAGGTTCCTGCGCTCAGTCTTCGCATCTTCCCGTAGACACAGCGGTCCTCAGAGTTTTGATCAGCTAAGGCCGAGAAGTTCAAGCTGTCTTTAGGCTAAAGCACTCCAGAACCGCGCTGTCTGCACAGGTGCCATTATTATCCCGCAAATCACAGACCCACCGACATGAATCAACAACTCTGCAAATCACGAGACGATCTAGCTCTCACTGGTTCAAGTTCAAACTCCCCTCCAAGGCTTTGATTCGGTTTGGTAGGCACCGCACCTCCACCAGCACTGTTAATGCGTCCTCTACATGATTAAACTTCATTCAGGTAAGCATTTCTCCATGGCTTCCTACACGTCCGAGTCGAAATCATGGTTAAAATTGGCGTCCACGATTTCGATGACGTGGCGCTATCTGATCATTACAGCTGATCTGCACACTGCAGACGGGCCGGATAGCTCGCCCTAATGCTCGTACCAAGCGTAAGCAAAGTTTCGTTTTCGTCAGTCTGATATTCCACATTTCAGTCGTGATCTAATAATATCAGCGTTCCGCTCTCATTTGCAGTTTTCAAATACCTACTAACATCTGTGTAACTGATTTAAAATCAACTGCTTGAGTTCTTAAGAGCTCTATAATGCAATATCACGGGTCGCGCTCGTCATCACGTCTGCTCACTTACCAGAGTTCGGTTGCGCGTGCGTTTAATTAATTAAATAAATAAATAAACCTGAGCGAAAGAGAGCAAGTTTATCATTTGGCCGTTATGCTTATTCTGCAGTGATCATATCTACCATGGCAGCAAGTTATTAATTGCGTAAGAATTTACAAACAACTATTTTCATATATTAGGCTATAACTTAAATTCATATTAAGTCTTTAAAAGTTAAATGACTCTACAACATTTGAATTGCGTACAATCGCTGTAATACTCAACCTTTCTGGTGACTACGTAATCCATTGAAATGTGTGATCGGAGTAAGAATTAATGTGAGGGGTGCTTTCACATTAATTTTCAGAGAAATGCAGTCTAAAGGATCAAGGCAGCTGCGTGGCTCTGGTTAAAGCCACATACTTAGTCAAAACTGTTAACTCAGTAGAACTAATAGTCATATTACTGTAGTATTATTTATGAGAAGTCAGTGAAGGAGGCTCCAGTGACATTGTCTTCGCTCAACTGTATGATTTACTTTTTCATGTATCATTCTATTCAAGAGTCTCTACTGGTTGTGGCCAGCGATCTCCCAGCATGAATGGGGCTATTTCTGCAAGAGCAACTCAGGAGCCATGTCAGTCATATGCTTCACACCTGAGAAAAGGATTCCACAATCAGGAGACAACAGATCATGTATCACTTGGAGTCTCTTTCACGTACCGATCATGGCCGGCTGTTCCTTCATTGTATACAATTATGAAAATTGTAATTTAACATTTTGTCCATTCATAGTTCGTTTTCAGGCATCCAAATTCACGCAAGTATTTTAATCCTAAATTTTTCAAGTCTGTTCACTGTACCTTCTCTGTTGCTTAAGGCATAGCAAACCTATGACTTATAAAAGTAGTCAAAGTTTCAACAGCACGTTGCAGCTTCGATTAACTATCACCGCAATTTAAAACTTTTCTGTCAATCAGATTCACACAGGATGGAGTCTCAAGAAGTGTCAACATAAAGTCATCATTCCATCGATGAAATATGTAGCTCATGCGTTGCTATCTCAAGTCACCGATTAGGTTATTCTGTCTCATCATCTATATCGTAAATCATGTCCTGTTGGCAGGATTCATGTAAATTTAGTTCGTGATTCACTAACCTGGAGGATGTCACTAGCTTCTACCGGCACTGTTATAATCTTTAAAAGTAAATCTTAAATGAATTTTTCTCACTCTTTTAACTTTGAGTGTGTAACCTTGCAGTTGTTGTTTATGCTTGAACGGCAGCGCTACACTCCAAGTCGGAAGCAAAATCCATTCAACCCCTTCGACTACGTCTGTCTGCAATGGTCTCTTTTCTAGTGTTATTCAATTGTAACTGTCTGTCACAGCGTTCATGGCTCATACATTCAGGGGATTATCTCCAGGAGTTAATACTCCGATTTTCCCCACGATCTTCTCTAATTACGTTTATCCCTTATTTCCTTCCTCTTTTTCTCAAGAACTAAGAATGACTATAAAGGTCTATCACATTATCAATTTATAAATTTGCAAATTCTGCCCATTCTCATCTATGTTCAAATTTCGATTTATCATAACTAACGGAGCACTACCTTCTTAACCTGGTTCGGGTCTCGTCAGTTCCGACCTCAATAGCTGCAGTCTATCCTCCTCCCTGTGTACTGCCATTCCTACAGGACTGGGGCTGCCATGGCAGTGGCCGAACTTGGTAGTTCTGTTGCAGCCATCAAAATCCTCGGCAGATGGTCTTCCTCTGCATTCGAGTCATAACTAAGAGCTGATCCAATCATCCTTGAAGCCCAGCAAGCTCTTCAGCGATATTCAGGTAAATTCTATACAATTACTGGTGGTGGTATCAGGCAATGGCCTCGCGTGGCCTTGTCTTCAAGCGGCACCATAGCCATATATTTATTCATATACAATTAAACCTTGTCTTGTCTGGCCTATCATGGCTATATCCGTGTGGTCATGGAGACCTGTCTATGTCTGGCCATCGTGGCTAAATCTGTGTGGTCTAATGAGACTGGTATGTGTCTGGCTTTCGTGGCTGTATCTATAGTATATCGAGACCTGTCTATGTCTGGCTATCATGGCCGTATCTGGTATATCAAGTCCAGTCTAAGTCTGGCTATCGCGGCTGTATCTGTGGTCTCTCGAGATCTGTCCATCAT